TAGGCTGGAATGACTCAAATACCTGAGGGCTGGAACAGCTAGGGCCCCTTGGGCATCACTGTCACCCGTGGTCTGTCCATGTGCTTCAGCTTGCCAGTGTTGGTGCCACTGGACTCCTTACATGTCAAATCATAGTCACTAAGGACTGAGCCAAGAAGACATTGGATAACCTTGTTCAACTGGCCTTGAAGTCACTTTGCATCATTTCAGCCATAGTCATGGGCCTGCCCGATAGAAGGGGAGGGATCAGAGACCCAGTACTCCATGGGGGCATGCCATCTCATACAAGAACAATATGCTGAAGGGATGCATCCATGGGAACATCTGGAAAATGCAGTCTGCTCTCAGACTGCCAAGTTCACATCCTCCCTCTCGATCGGAAGCCCCAGCTCTCATCCTGTTGTGTTATCAGGCTCAGGCGCAGGTTCTTACTGTTGAATCAGGTGTGAGTGAGCCCCCTGGGTAGTGGTGCAGTGGTCCGCAAGTACAGCTTGTTCCACCCGATGTGAAGGCCTATACCCTAAAGAGCTAGGATCTTTGCCTCCAAACATCCATTACCCAACCTGAGCAGGCCTAGAGTAGCTGTGACAGACTCTTGTACTTGCCAGGGTTCTCTAGAGAAACCACCAACGGGGTGTGTGTGTGTGTGTGTGTGTGTGTGTGTGTTTGTATGTGTAATAGTACCCCCAACCCCATTTGCAGTTACACTTTCTAAAGTTCCAATATTGGTCTAAAGTTGCAATATTGGTCTGAAAATATGAAATGGAAAATTTCAGAAATAAGGAGTTCATAAGTTTTAAGTTGCACATGCTTTTGAGTAGTGTGGTGAAACCTCACACTGACCAGCTCTGTCCCTCTCAGAGTCAGAGTGGTTGCTTTGTCCAGCATATCCATGGTGTATACGTTACCTACCTGAGCATAGTTTGTATGGAGTTTGGGACTACCTGTGGTTTCAGGCATTTTACATACTGATACACATACACACACTATGTATTTAGAGAAAGTGAAAAAGAAAGATTTAAGAAATTGGCTCATATTGGGACCAGCAGATAGCGTAATGGCTATGTCACTGGACTCCCATGTAGTCTACCACGGTTCGCGTCCCGGACCTGGTGGCTTAAAACTCACGCCGGGAGCATGTGCGTGCATGCCCAAGATCCCGAGAGGAGCATGGAGGAGAAGAGATTGTGGTGTAGCCATCCCCCCTGGGGGTTGATTTCTCGCTTTCTGTCTCTATGTCTCTCTCTGTCTGTCTGGTGAGTGCACGCGCCCTGTAGCAAAAACCTCTCAAAAAAAAAAAATTGGCTCATGCAATTTTGGGGCTGGAAAGTCCAGAAAGTCTGCAGAGCAAGCCAGCAGGCTGGAGTTGCAGGGAAGACTTGATGTTAAAATCTTGAGCCTGAAGGCCATTTGGTGTTCTCTGTTCTTTGGGGTGCCTCAATATTTTTCTCTGAAAGCCTTCAATTGATTGGATGAAGACCACCCACGCGATTGAGGCCAATCTGTTTTACTAAAAACATCTACCAATTTCAATGTTAATCCTGTGTTTTTTAAAAAAGAAAGTCTTCACAGTGACATCCAGACTGGTGTTTGCATTGTATATTAACCTCCTGGACACATATAATAAAAGTCCGCCATCATGACCTTCCTGTTCAAAAGGGGGAAATGAGAAGCATTCAAGGGTCCAGCCCTTAGCAGTCTTGAAATGCATCTGCACACAAGTCGACAGGAACTTGATAGGCTCAGTCCTAATTCCGGGGAATGATTTTCCATCACTCTTGACTCTGTCCTCTGTGTTCTCGGTTCTATCTTCTGGATGACTCTTCCTTTTCCGTTGAAATGCCTGCTGTTTGTAGTGAGTGGTTTTCTTGGCCTGTGTCCTGCCTGTAATAGTTTAAGAGTTCAGTGCCTGTTTTCATTTTGTACCATCTCTGTCCCATTTAACCCTAGCTGGTAATATTTCCTCTTGTAAAATTGTATTAAAAATGTAGGGTTTTCTATGGATCTCTTAGGATTCAAACAGTTAGACAAAAGCTACTCCCATGAATCTTATCAACATACTTTCTCTGTCATGGTCTTGCTGCAAGGCTACTGTGCAAGAAGTTCTTAAAATTCCTAAAAACTCTATTGTTGACTGAAAAGGGTTTGCAAGGGATGCCCATAGAAACCTGCCAGTACGCTGAAGGTCCACCTCAGATATTTATAAGATCTTAGGAAATGACCTTAACTGTCTCATGCCAGATTTCATATGTGTCCTGAATCCCTCTCTTAATTTGATAGACTTGAGGAGTGTGGGAAAGAGAAATAGTTTTATTTTTGAACTTAGCAAGACTTAATTCCTTTGTATATTTTCTCTAAATCTCACTTAAAAATGGAACAATTCAGGGAACCAGCAGTTAGCGTAATGGCTGTGTCGCTGGACTCCCACGTAGTCAACCGCGGTTCGCGTCCTGGACCTGGTGGCTTAAAACTCACGCCGGGCGCGTGTGCATGCGTGCCCACGATCCCGAGAGGAGAATGGAGGAGAAGGGATTGCGGCGTGACCATCCCCCCTGGGGGGTGATTTCTCGCTTTCTGTCTCTAATGTCTCTCTCTGTCTGTCTGGCGAGCGCACACGCCCTATAGTGAAAATCTCTCCAAAAAAAAAAAAAAAGAAAGAAAAAAGGAACAATTCATTCTTTAGCTTTTTTTTTTTCTCTTCATTTTATTGGGTCGTCAGAAAAATAACGACATTTTTCTTTTTTTAAAAAAAAGAATTATATTATTTATTCATTCATTTTGATTTGATCAGAGAGAGAGAGGGAAAATGAGAAAGCAAGCCACCAGATCTGGGACTTGAACCGTGGATGGCCATATAGGAGTGTCCAGCACCTTAACCACGACACCACCTGCTGGTCCCCAAAATCATGTCATGTTTCTATGCAAAAATGCGTCATGACTTTTCTTTTTTTTTCTTTTTTTTTTTTTTTTGAGGGGTTTTTTGTATAGGGCGGGGGGCGTC